GTATAATGGAAAGATTGTGTTTTAAATCAAGTAACCTATAGCTGACTTCGGGTTTATATGGATGGATCACTAGATATTTTAATTACAACATTTCTTTATAAAAATTTCTATGCAATAACAAGCATTTTTTACTGATAAGTACAAAGGGGACAAATATGGGAAAGCATGTTTTTAGAGATAGAAATACACCATCCTCTACGTAGTGTAGGAAATTTGTAGGAGATCCTAAAGGAAAGACAAATGGAAGGGACAGAATAGGCAATGACAAATGAGCAGACAAGGAAGACAATAGTTTGGGTGGCTTTGTCCTCAGGCGAGACTTTCAGAAAGTGTTGAGCACTGTAGATGTGCTTGACTTGTCTCTTCAGTCTGTAGAGGACACTCACCATGGATATACTCGAACAGGCCAAGAGACACAGTCCCAGGCCATCAGTGAAACAGAGAAAGAACATATACACAGAGATTGTCACATTGCTAGAGACAAACCCTGAAGAGTATCCATAGCTCAGACAGCTAGTCACATTTTTTTTTTGTCAAAAATGGGGTCTAACAATTTTGCTGGAGTCAAGATATTTAAGAGCATATGTACAAGTCAACTTAGTGAGCAAGAGAGACAGACGAACGTGTTGTCCCTGTATTTAAACTTGATCCACCTGGAGTTACTCAAGCTGATTGCGATTGCTTGGAAGCTAAACTAAGATATCAGAGGAAAGACTCTTTGCCCTTTGAATGAGCTACAAATGGAATCCTCCTTCGGCCCCAGGTCAGAATCCCTATATGATGCCTTGGAAGGAGAATAGGTCCAATGCATGTATGATCAGTCACTGCAGTGAAAGGGGACATTTCCACACTGAAAGGAATACCAAGGCTGTCATTCATCTACCATGACTTCTGTCGTTTACCTCATTCCACACTGGCTAAAATTTTCTGATATCCACAGAGTTTGGAATTCAAATACTGCAGTATAACAAAGCAAAATCTTGGAATTGGAATGAGTCAGAACAAGTAGTGCTGAAGACGAATCCGATGCACGACACAGAAAAACAGGCTTTTCAGGGATCACCACTTTTGGCAAAGTGAAGATTTTTTACTTTTCTAAGTACATGTTGTAAGATAGACATGACCTGAGAATTATAGCATGTGGAATAAAATTTACCTCCAGAAAGATGTTTTTCCTCCCTTTTTCTTTGCTTTCTTTGAAATTAACTTGTTTTTGCAAATGAGTGCCTTATGGCCTGATTTGGTCTAAATTCTCTACTTGGTTTAGAATGAACTTGATCTACAATCCCATTACTTGTAGAACAGCAGAGCTGTTTCATTACTTCAGATATTCTTCTCTCTTTTTGTCTTTTACTTTTTGCTGATTTTGTTGTTCTATTTTGATAAGACATTGTCTCACTCTGTATCCTTTTCTGCACTAGAACTACTGGGCAGACCGGTTGGATCTCAAACTCACAAACTCTGACTCTGGGGATTAAAGGGACTGGATTAAAGACCTGTAACTTTGTGAATGACATTCTCATAGCATGGTGATTGTTCGGTTCAATTGTGTTCCCCGAAAATCAACAACAAAGACTGTGGTCTGTTAACAAAGTGTGCTTATTTCCAACACAAACACAATACTGTAAATGCCAACATCCCAAAGAAGCTGGAAGTCCAGAGACTAAAATTTCAGAAATCTGAGATACTCTAAAACATATCCTTTACCTAGGATAATAAAAAATTTCAAATAATAGTGAAGGAATTCCTATAGCATGGGTCAAAATAAAGTAAGGGAATTTAATTTGGATTCAACCTGAAGACCAGAAAAACAAAAAAGCCAAGTAAATAGGACATCTTACCTCTACAAAGGCTGGACTACCATAAACTAATCACACTGAAGTATTTTTTCTTCAAATTTTTTTTCTCTATGGCTGGGATTAAATGCATGTGACTCCCTAGTACTGGGATTAAAGATTTAGGCCAAAAACACCAGGATTTCGTTCTGCATTTATCCAGGATAGCCTGGAACTCACAGAGATCCTTCTGTCTCTCTCCCAGATCCTGAGATTAAAGGTGTGTTTCATCTTTGTCCTACCTGTTTAGATTAGCATTGGATCCTCTGGTGAGATTTAGTCATCCAAAAACAAGTAATATACCCATGAAAAATTCAAATATGGAAAAAGGTTTAGCAAAATTGTACAAAAATAATTGAATCTTCTGTGTAAAAATATTTTTTATCTTTATTGATAATCATGACTGTTCTTTATATTCTAGGCTTTAATCAATAAAAGCATCTTTATTAGAAGTCATACCACTCCTGGGAATATACCCAAGAGATGCTCTATCATATGACAAAAGCATTTGTTCAACTATGTTCATAGCAGTATTATTTGTAATAGCCAGAACCTGGAAACAACCTAGATGCCCTTCAATGGAAGAATGGATGAAGAAAGTATGGAATATATACACGCTAGAGTACTACGCTGCCGTAAAAAACAATGACTTCTCGAATTTTGCAGGCAAATGGATGGAAATAGAAAACACTATCCTGAGTGAGGTGTCCCAGACCCAAAAAGATGAACATGGGATGTACTCGCTCATAATTGGTTTCTAGCCATAAATTAGCGCCACGGAGTCTACAATAGGTGAACCTAAAGAAGCTAAGTAAGAAGGTGAACCCAAGGAAAAACATATAGTTATCCTCTTGGCTAAGGGAAGTAGACCCAATTGCCGGGGAGAAAATTAGGATCTTGGGGGTGGGGTGGGATGGGGGTAAGGGGAGATGGGGAGAGAAAAGGTAGAAGGGAAGGAGGGGGGATTTGGGGAATCAGGAGAATTGGGATAAAGGAAAGGTGGATAGGGGAGCACGGAACCACAATTCTTAGTTAAGGGAACCACTTTAGGGTGAGCAAGAGATTTGACCCTAGAGGGGCTCCCAAGTGCCCAACATGAGGTTCCCAGTTAGTTCCTTGGGTAGCTGAGGATTGGGAACCTGAAATGACCCTATCCGAGAGCAATACTGACGAATATCTTGCATATCATCATAGAACCTTCATCTGGTGATGGATGGAGACAGAGACAGAGACCCACACTGGAGCACTGGACTGAGCTCCCAAGGTCCCAATGAGGAGCAGAAGGAGGGAGAACATGAGCAAAGAAGTCGGGACCACGAGGCGTGCACCCACCCACTGAGACAGTGGAGCTGATCTACTGGGAGCTCACCAAGGCCAGCTGGACTGTGACCGAAAAAGCATGGGATAAAACCGGACTCTCTGAACATGGCGAACAATGAGGGCTGATGAGACGCCAAGGACAATGGCACGGGGTTTTGATCCTACTTAATGTGCTGGCTTTGTGGAAGCCTAGCCAGTTTGGATGTTCACCTTCCTAGATATGGACGGAGGGGGGAGGACCTAGGACTTACCACAGGGCAGGGAACCTGGACTGCTCTGTGGACTGGAGAGGGAGGGGGAGAGGAGTGGGGGGAGGGGTAGAAGGGTGGGAGGAGGGGGAGAAGGGTGGGAGGAGGGGGAGGGAAATGGGAGGCTGGGAGGAGGTGGAAACTTGTTTTTTGTTTATGTTTTTTTTTCTTCTTTTCTTAATAAAAAAAAAAAAAAAAAAAAAAAAAAAGAAAAATGACAGACATGATATTCCTTCAGAATGGAGATGTCCCCTTTCACTGCAGTTACTGACTATCCTTACTTTGGATGGGTTCTCCTTCCATGGGATCACCGAGATTTGCATAGAGATTCTGAGTTAGGGCTGAAGGAGGAGTCCATTTGTAACTCAACCAAAGATTAAAATGTCTTCCCCTGATATGTTAGTGTATGTCTTTTTTTTTTCCTGCTATGTGAATGCTGTTCACCTAGGCTATGCTGAACTTGGTCTTCTTAGGCTACAAGGCTGTGTTTGAACTTGAGTCCCTAATGCTCACCAGAGTGATTATAAGGTACAAGGTCATGGCTGCCACGCCCAGATACAGGAGCTGTGATCCAAGGGAGTGTCTAACTAATTAGCATAACAGATTGAATCCTTGAAGTCAGACACTATAAAAGGACAAAGAGCTTGAGCAGAAGCTCAGTTGAAGCAGAGCACAGGCCTGGAGACACATCAGCACCTAGTGCTTGCTGGAATCAGCCCTGATCTCGCCTAGAAAGAGACCACTTCGATAAACAGAAACATTTCCCTTCTTTGTGGAGTGGGTATGTGTAGGTTTGTTAATTTTTGTGGGTCTGGGAGTTGCTGCTTTATAATCATGGGAAGGTCTCTAAGTTGTTGTGTGGACTTTTAGGAAACCTTTCTGGTCAAGCGTTTGTCCTTTAAAATTCTGAAGGTGAGGTATGTGGTCTCTTGTTCTATGGACAGGTCCTGGCTACTGTGCGGACTGATGGTTGCAGGTCTTTCACTTTTAACGTTTTTCGTATGAAAGTGTTTTTCTGTGGCACTTGTAAAGGGAGACCCAGGTGGAACATAAAAATCGAGACTCTGCAACAATAAGTTTTACCTTTTCCAAAGGGGTGAGCAGATAACCCTTGGCTACCATGCAGCTTGCTGTTTTCTCATTTCAGGTCTTCCCATTTTCAAACCAGGATTTTTCTTTCTGTCGGGTAAAGTAATATTACACTTGTATTTTTTTCATTTGTTCTCATCTCTAGAAGAATTTGTGGCTGGGCAGTGGTGGCCCAAGCCTTTAAGCCCAGCAATAGGGAGGCTAAGGCTGGCAGATCTTTGTGAGTTCGAAAACAGCCTGGTCTACAAGAGCTAGTTCCAGGACAGGCTCCAAGCTACACAGAAACCCTATCTCGATAAACTAAAAATACAATAAAATAATAAAATAATTGGTTTAGAATTCTGAAATATTTACTTTGAAAAGTCTCTTAGTAGAGCAGTGACATTAACAAGTGTTTTACTTTTTCATTCACTGCTTTAACCCATTCACAAATTTTTAAACAGATTTTCTAGTCACAAGAAAGATACTGGGTTGCCAAAATTGAATATTTCTGAGGATTCTCAGCAGAATGGCTTCACACCTCAAAGGCTCCTTTCAGCCTCTGTCACCAGAAAATGGTGGTGAGGTAGAAAACATAGAGTTTATTCAAAGCCGGGTTTCTCCTGTGCAGTGGGAAGAAGACATCTCTAACTCTGCTAGTGTTTGCCTCAACTTTTTCCAAAATGACAATGGCTCCTGTGCAAAGCAGGAGTTGCAAACACTCTGGGAGATGTTTACCTCATGGTTGAAGCCAGAAGAACAGACCAAGGAGCAAATGATTTCCCAGCTGGTCTTGGAACAGTTTCGCAAAATCGGGCATTCCAAAGATGAGTTGGCTGTAAAAGAGTTGTGGGAATCAAGTGGACGAAACCTGGGGAATCTCATGTGGGGACTGACTGACGAGTGCTTGAAGCCTCCTGTCATGGTGAGTAGCATGATTGAGAGTTGATAACTCAGGAATAAAGACAGTCTTCTACATTTGGGGGAAATAGGAAGAATTTATAGTTGTGTTTTGGTCAGTTTGTAATGCCCTCAGCCAACATATTTACAATGGACTTCCTTCTTGCTTTAAATTCACATGTACAATGGGCAAATTTATATTTTATCTATTTAAAAGTGGCAAGAAATTAAGAGATGGTATTAGAGCAAAGCATTTAAGGGTTTAGAAGAGATAGTCTGTCTTTTAGAGATGGCTCATTTAGCAAGGTGCTTATATTGTATTTATTATAAGCACCTGAGAATGGGTGAAGAAGACCTCACATTCAAGTAGCATGTAAAACAAAAGGTATTTTTTTCTGTAATAAAAATCAGCATGGGAACATATTTGATTTCCTGAGCTTCTCATTCTACCCCTCCATTAACACCTTAGGGATATGTTGGGTGAATTGAGATAGGGTTACAGAACTGTCCATTTTTGGTCATTGCATTGCGATGTTTTGTGGTCTTGTGCAGACATCTGATGTGTTCTCCCATTGTTCTTGCTGTCAGGGATGTTGTGGACGATTTTCCATTTGTTTTTAATAAACTGAAATTAGGTCCAGTTGTAAAATGGAGGAAGTTAGGGTCCCTCAATTATGAGCATTACCTAAATAATTTCATTTCAGAAATTTGGCAGGCATTTAACACTCTGAATTTCTGAGCTAGCCTGTGATCCATGAACCTGGGGAGCATAATCAGGGACATAATTTCTTTAATGGTTTTCTAAATTGTCTATTCTGTGTTATTTATGTCTTGTTGCTAAACAGAAGAGGCAGGATAGTACCTTGTGCTCTCAAAAGCATATTCTACATGGACACATATGAGAAATGACTTAATGAATAATGGTTCGGCAATGCCAATTTTGAAAATCGAAAAATTTCAGCTAGACGTAATTTTATTTAATTTTTAAAAATTTCTGTATTTACCTAATTCTCAGTCATTGAAAGAAATGACCAAGGTGGTGAAATTCTTCAGACACCCCATACATACTTTTTTAGGTGTGATTCTTTAAATCTCTTCCTGATTAGTCATATTCAACCCTGGGGCTTTTCATTAAAGCAGCAATTTTTCTATATTTTCCATAGCTTTGGTGGGGTGAGGGACAATCCTTGGAACAAGAGAAGCCTTTCTTGATGGAGAAAGTCACTAGTTTTCAATTTAAACCGTCCTCACCTTTCCTCATTCAATGCATTGGACAGCTGAAGATAATGTTGTGGGAAGACATTACAGAAAGCTAACATTACCTTTTCCCTGGCAACAGTGACACAACACTTGCAAATACAGAGCAAATAGGGACTTGAAGGTACAAAACTTTGAAAGCCAGAAAAAGAACATTACAAATGAAAGTTAGACAATTGAGTTAAACTATACTCCAGTGATGTGGTGCAATCAGTTGGAGAGCAAGCGTTTTATCATCCAGATTCATTGGCACAGCTCATCTGGTTTGTTTACAGGTTCATGTCTCCATGCATGGGCAGGAAGCACTCTTTTCTGAGAACATGACATTAAAAGAAGTCATTGAGCGTTTTAAAGAACAACAATTGGTAACAGCATCAATTCTAGAGAATGAAAGGACACACTTGTTGATATCCCAGGACAGATTACAGGAAACAGGTGAGTGTCAGGGAGGTATAGAGAAAAGGGCTGTTGTGTGGGGATCACTTCTTAGGCACAGTTTCCCAGACTTTCTTATATTTAAAAATCACGCAGACAAGATGGCCAAGATTATTCTTGGAACTCTAGTGAAGAAAATGGTTGTGTTACTAGTCCTGTAAATGACATGGATTCTCTTTTCATTATCCAAACAGATAATTTTTATGATCGCAATGAGGGAGCTGTTTCTGATGAAATCCCTCTGGATCTCAGAACACGGCAGGATGCTGCCAGGTACCAGGAAGAATCTCAGAGTGCATCTTCTTCTGGAGATGTTCCCATGGTGCAGGTACAACCAGGGATTTCCTCCAGACCAGGGCAGACTGAAGACTTCCAGAATCATGCAGCAAACTGCACATGTGACGGTCACCACAAGAGACTCCACAGAGACACAAACTCTAATCTTTCTGTTCATGAGAAAGTACAAAAGAAGGAGAGATCACTTGTATGTACAACATGTCATAAAGGCTTCTATACTGTCTCAGACCTGAGAGTCCATGAGATCATACACAAGGAAGAGAAGCCTTTTGTATGTCCTATATGTGGAAGGCCATTCAGCCATAAAACCAACCTGAAAGTTCACAAGAGGATACATACAGGAGAGAAGCCCTACACTTGCTCCAAGTGTCAGCATAGTTTCCGCCAATCGTCCTCATACCACCGTCATCAGAGGAATTGCCACAAATCAGACTGATCTTTGTCCTTTATTACCAGTAGGAGACCATAAAACATCAGAGGCAATCAACAAATCAGTTAAAGGATGTCAAGATTTCTAAGAAAAAAATAAACGTTTGAAGGAAACAACTAAGACTGTTCATGAATTCGATGCAATAAAAATAAGACCAAACTAAGGGAATTCAGGAAATGGAAATGATAAGCAGCAAAACCGCAACTACAGAGTAAAGTATTGCCAGCAGAAAGAAAGAGACAAAAGAGAATCCTACGCATTGTCAACAATAGATACTACATATTTTGTTCACCAAGACATTATATCTGTGTTTCTCAGTTCCTATTGGGTTTGTTTGAATGACTCCTCAAGAAGTGTCGGTATATCAGATATAATGCATCAGGTATTTATTTTGCTATTTTTAAAAGTAGAAAAATGACAATTCTGAAGAAGCAATAAAAAAAAATATTACAGTTAGAACACTACAACATGAAAGACCACAGTAAGTTTCCATAGCATTCTGAAGGTTGAGAATCACTACTCAACAGGTTGAAGCAGAGGATTCCAAAATACCATGCTACTAATGAGCCATGCCCTAACCCTATGTAACCAAATCACCAGCTATGTTTGTAAAAAAAAAAAAAAAAATGCAGGTGGTGACAATGTGCCTCAGTCAGAAACGGTTCTTCCCTTAGGGAGTCAGAAGCCAAACCTGTGTTAATCTGACCATAGTTATCTTCCACAAGTGCATGTAATCACAAGAACATTTAAAAGGAATCACATGTAAATTTTCTTGAGGACATATCACAAGAGAACTTCCTTGAGACATGTACCATCTCAGAAAAACTGTGCTGCTTTCACAGTCTGAAATGCAGAAGCAGTTCTTGGTCCTACATTCTGTAAGAAAATATTGATTCCCAGAGACATGAAGTATCAAATATATGATCAAATTCCATGATATGTGATGGAGCAATTGGTATTTTCTGCTCCAACTTATTTGTCGAAACAGATGACAAAATAAGGGATCAATAATAAAAGAGAACGTAATACACTCGGATGAAATAATCACAATGCAATAGCTTGCTATGTACTATTGATATATACTTTGAAATAAAAGGTAACTAAAGCAATCTCCACAGCCCTGTGGCCCATTTCTTCATTTACTCATCTTACTTTCTCCATAGATCCAGCTTGTGCATGCCATGTTCTTTGATATCAACTTTCTAGAAGTTTCATCAAAATACGTTTGCTCATTGCCACATCCACTGCTGTCTCGCCTGTGTGACAAAATGCCTCTCAGCTGGTGGCTGTCTCAAAATGAGGGGCTCTTGCTTTCTGGAGCTTGGCCCCTGGCCGCTTCCTGGCAGTCTGCTCGAGTTGTGGTGCCTGATCAGCCTCAACGACTTCTTTCACTTTGTTCCTGGCAATGGTTTCTTGCGTTCGCTCTGTATCTTCTTCTTTTGTTCTACTTTTCTCTTGTTAAAAACTTAATCTGTTTAAGGAACTAGGAAACATTCCCAAGGGCTCCTTGAATACGGAGGAACTGATGTGTCAGTTCCCTCCCTTGATTTAGGCCAATAATGTTATGATTAAGACTCAGGCTTGCTCCCTGGGGGATTTCATGGATGCCCTAGAAGAGAAAGAGCTCATGACAGTAGAAGATAGGTAAATTATGAAGGAAAACATTTGAAGTGACATGAGTTACCATTTATGGAGAGGCTAGCCAAAATGAGAAACCCCTGGTGCATTTTAGATAAGCAAGAAAGGCAGGCTATTCTTAACAATATGAAGCCAGGCAATCAATATTGGAGCAAACCCTGGGGGTGGAATATTAAAGAATGGTATTTGGGTTACCTTGAGGGCAGATATGATTTAGGGCCATGAGCAAGCACAGTTGGTTAATGGTGTGAGACGAATTTCATTGAAAAGCTCTGCCTACCTGGCCTTGACCGCGAGACATGCTGAGAATAACAATTGCCTGTAATCATTTTTTTATGTAAGCTTTTGTGTCTGCCAACTTCCTTCTGTAATCTCATAAAAGTGATGCTTGAATTTTAGTAAAATTGCAGCAGATTCAAACCTGGTTAGAGTTCTGACTATCTGTCATTCGCCGAATCCCGGGTTCTCCTTAGCCTTCATCACTGTTCTTCCTCAGTCTTCGATCTCCAAGAGAGTCAGTCCACGGCAGATCATGTGCAATTATATTCTTTGTATTTATTCATTTCTTCAAGAATATATACCTCTGGCCTCTGCCTTTCTACGAAGGAATTGTGTTATTAACATACTTTTATAATAACATTTTCTAAGATAATTTCTAATTTTTCCAAAGTAGAAATTAATCTCAACTTGTGCACTCCAGTACCCTATTGCAGGGTTCTCTGACAAAAAGGGAAGAGTCAGAGCCTGGCATGCTGGACTTCCCTAGGGCTTAGGGAGATGGTGAGTGTCAACTCAAACCTACCACGTGGCCAACAGGGAGAAATAACTCACTGAGTCAGGAGTCTCCTGAAGCTAAATCTCATTTAATTGTATTAGGTGGGAATTTATATAGGTGTTTGGATGCCAGGGATGTGCCGAGGTGGAGCAAGGGCCGATAATATTTTTCAGATTAGCAGTGACTGGGCAGAGGCATGCCTAGACTGGGCTGTGCTCAGTCACTTTCTGTGTGGAAGTTATAGCCACAGACAGGTCTCCAAACTCAAGTTAGGCTCAGAAAGTTACACTGGGCCTCACCAAACTTACGTTAGGTTTAGGATGTTACACTGGGATTCATGGGCAGTCTTCATGAGCCCACAACCATAGTCCAGTTAGACTCCAGTTGAAAGAAAACACTGACTAATATGACGAATCTGTTCTGCTGTGAGTCTAAGGACTTCACTAAGATGATGAAAAGATATACCCCACTTCTTTCTGTCAGCATGAATTATCATGGATGGAGCCAATGGCTCTGCAAATTAGATCCGTGCATGGAGTATTGCAGCACAAAGTTTGGAGCTGGCATGTACCTACCTTCATGAATTCTAACTCTGTTTTCACATATATGGCTACTTCTAAAGTTGTTGAAAATTCTTTTTTCTAGAGAGAATTTAACCCTAAATCCTACAGTGAACAGGGTCTCACCCTTGGTAGGGCAATTAGACAGAGGATAGAGGTGTTTGAAGCAAAGCACAGAAAAAACTAGTCTGAACCAAGATCATCTGTGTTATGAGGGCAAGAAGCTTCTATCTTATCTTAGGAAAACAAGACAGGCATATTTGACAGCATGATATGTTGATTTGCATCCGAAGGAAGTAAAATGGTTTCAAGAAAAATGAAGAGATTTTTGTCATCTCTTATTAGTGTTTGATGCTTGATTGATATTTTAAAGGGAGTCTTTTAGCCTGGTGCACAATAGAATAAATTGCTGAGAATGACCTTTGGCTTTTCATTCCCATTGCGGAAGATCTTGGGGCTGCCTTCCTATTGCAAGCATCTGTTTTGTTTGTTTGTCTGTTATTTTGAGAATAATTCTCTATTATGTCCAGGCTGTGCTGGAACTTGCTATGCAGTCCAAGCTGGATCCAGATTTCCACAGATCCATTTTCAATGGTCAGATCTGTCCCGGGATTAAAGGTGGTTGCTGGGATTAAATCGTATACTGGGATTAAATTCCACTAGCCTTCCTCTAGCATTTTAATTATTAGGCTTAATTTTGTCCTCTTAATTAAAAAAACATGCCTTTAATAGCAGGACTGAGGATAGAGCAAGTGTCTTTGACTTTGAGGTCAACCTGATCTTCATAGGAGTATCAGTAGAGCCTGGGGAAAATACAGAGACAGTTCCTCAGACAATATAATAAAAAGGAAGAAAAACAAGAAACCAAACCACCAATCCACTTAGAAACCAACCAACAAACCAACCAACCAAAACACACAGACACACATGCACACACATGCATGCACACAAACAAACAAAATCTAAAAGAACAGAAACAAACCAAATATAAAAACAATATAGTTTAAAAAAAAACAGCATCTCCTACTATTAGTGTGTGCGATTTGATGGCTGCCTTGAGTTTTAGCAATGTTTCTTTTATGTACGTTGGTGCTTTTATATTAGGGGCATAGATATTCAGGATTGAGACTCCATCCTGATGAACTGTTCCTGTTATGAGTATAAAATGCCCCTCTCCATCTCTTCTGATTGATTTAAGTTTGAAGTCTACTTTGTTAGAGATTAGTATGGCCACACCTGCTTGTTTCTTAGGTCCATTTGCTTGATAAGCCTTTTCCCAGCCCTTTACTCTGAGTAGGTGCCTGTCTTTGTGGTTGAGGTGTGTTTCTTGTAAACAGCAGACTGTTGGATCCTGTTTTCGTATCCAATCTCTTAGCCTGTGCCTTTTAATAGGTGAGTTGAGTCCATTGACATTAAGTGATATTAATGACCAGTGGTTGTTAACTCCGGTCATTTTTTTAGTAGTAGGGTTTGTGTGTTTCCCCTCTAATAGTGGGAGACTTCAACACTCCTCTCTCACCAATGGACAGGTCAATCAGACAGAAACCTAACAGAGAAATAAGAGAATTAATGGAGGTAATGAATCAAATGGACTTAACAGACATCTATAGAACATTCCACCCAAATAGGAAAGTATATACCTTCTTCACTTCAGCTCATGGAACCTTCTCAAAAATCGACCACATAGTCGGTAACAAAGCAAACATCCACAGTTACAAAAAAAAAAATATTAGTAACCACCTGTGTCTTATCAGATCACCATGGATTAAAGTTAGAATTCAACAACAATGCTACCCCCAGAAAGCCTACAAATTCATGGAAACTGAACAGTCAACTACTGAACCATACCTGGATTAAGGAAGAAATTAAGAAAGAAATTAAAGTCTTCCTGGAATTCAATGAAAATAAAGAAACAACATACTTAAACTTATGGGACACTATGAAAGCAGTCCTAAGAGGAAAGTTCATAGCACTAAGTGCCCACTTAAAGAAAACAGAGAAAGCTCACATTGGAGACTTAACAGCCCACCTGA